CGCCTGGGAGCGTCGGGAAGCCCACAGGGCGAGAACGCCGAAACATTGCAGAAGCCTCCTGCGCGCCACCACGCCGGGAACCCCCAGAGGGCACGCGCCAAGCCCAAGCGGATCCGAGGATTTGGGGTCCCGGCCCCAGAGAGACTCCACAGGACAGGACTGAGGCTCAGGGGACAGTCGGGGGCGGAAAAGAGGGGGGTGATGACTAGGGGGGGGTGGATATCATGGCGGGGGTCATGATATTTCCCCAGATTTTATGGCGCTTCTTCTTATTTCATTACGTCCCTGGCCCCCCCGCTGGGCCGCGCACATGCCGCCGGTCATGATTTGCACCCTTCCCTCTTGGACACCCCCCTCTTGGCCGCCCCCGAGATAGGGCAAAGGACCTCAGGGCACGCCCACTCCGTGCCCAGAGGCACGGTGGCGGATTTTCGTTGTCTGTGGAACGACCGCGTTTGCTGACTCCAGACAAACACGCTGGCAGTACTGAAATATGTTTCTCAACCATCGCGCTTGGAGTGCATCTAGCTTCGCCTTATCTGCCTTCAGCAGCATGCACGACTCGAGACCATTCATCAACTTTGATACACTACGCGCTTCAAATACTTGCAATGAGTTGATTGTGATGCAGCCGTGGCCCCGCGGAATGGTTCGTCTAGGCTTCACACATTGGGTCGGAGGATTGCGCTGCATCGCCGATGCATCAATGATGCGGCTCGATGTGGGGCCAGAATTCCTCCACGCCAAAGGGGCCGATGCATCGTCGACGTCGCTGGTGCATCGACGATGCATCGTCGACGCATCGGCGATGCAGTTCATCTACGATGCATCGTCGCATGAGGAGGCGACGATGCATCGTCGATGCATCGGTGACGATGCATCGACTCATCGGCGACGCATCGACGCATCGTCGACGATGCATCGTCGACGGTGTTTCTAGCCCATCTGTCCCGGGGCTGGCGGCAAGAGTCGAGTCGCCAGAGGTCCCGAGGGGCTGGTCGAGGGTCGAAGTTCCTGGTGGGCTTGCAAGGCTTGCTGGGCCTCCGGCAGGAGCAGGCATTCCTCGCCGCCCTCCCCCGTGTCCCGGGACCTCGAGGCGTCGCGAACAGCAGTCGCGGCGGGCGCTTTCTCCCCAATCAGAGCTCGCCTCTGTAGGGGTCCTGGCGGATTCATGTGGTTCGGTGAGGGTCGTCGCCGATTTCGGTGGCCGGCCCGGGTGCCCGGGAGCCCAGGTGCCCAGGTGCCCGGGGGTGCCCGGGTGCCCGGGTGCCTGGGTGCCCGAAGGTGCCCAGAGGTGCCCGGGGGTGCCCGGGTGCCCGGGTGCCCCATAGCCGTATAGCATTATAGCCCTATAGCATTATAGCCCCATAGCATTATAGCCTGATAGCCTTATAGCCCTATAGCCCTATAGCCCTATAGCCCTATAGCCCTATAGCCCTAATAGCCCTAAAGCCCTATAGCCCTATAGACCTATAGCCCTATAACCCTATAGCCCTATGGCCCAATAGCCTTATAGCCGTATAGCCGTATAGCCTTATAACCCTATATCCCTATAGCCCTACAGCCCTATAGCCCTATAGTCCTAGGGCCTATAGCCCTATAACCCTGTATCCATATAGCCCTATAGCTCTATGGCTCCAGAGCCTCATAGCCCTATCGCCCTATAGCCCTATAGCCCCATAGCCCCATAGCCTTAAAACGATTCTGATTGGGGTTTTTCTCCGGTAGCTTTTTCAGAGTCAGGGTCTCTAGTGGTCCGCTGCGGGCCCTGTGGCATCAGCGCAGCATGTTCTGCGACGAAAGGGCCGTCCTTGGCAAGGGTTCGATAGCCTTGGGTCTCCTGCCGTGAAGCACTCACCGCGTCGGAGGCCTATTTTTGGGCCGCTTTGCTTCGTCCCTCCGTCTCGTCCTTTTCCGGGCCGCTCGTATCGCCAGATGTTCTGTAGAGTGGTAAGACTTTCCGGCAGATCTCAGCGTGCGCACAGCAGTCAAGAGCCATGTTTGTGCGAGATCGAGGTGTGCGTTGAGTTTGCTTCGTCTGTCTGTTCCGTCGTGTGTGCGATTGCAAGCGCCAGGTGTGTTGTGTGCGTGCGATGCGGTCTTCTCGTTTGTTGGTTGCTTGTGTACCCCGTGGATACACACTTTTGGGACTGAGTGCTGTTCGCGATGGTATTCCATGGACTCTGATCTCGTAGTATTTTTGTACATGCGTACAGATGTCGTAAAAGGGACGGTGTTCAGAGGTCTCGGAACTGCTGCTAATCTTTGTTTGCTTCGTGCGTTCTGATCGCGCGTGTCGCCGTCGTATGCAGCAGTCCAGAGGTGATCGTGCTTGTTGTCCTCTTGCAGGTGGTTTTGGAGAAGGAGGATGAGGAGGACTATGATGAGGTTAGGAGTAGGAGGAGGAGGAGGATGAGGAGCATGATGCTGCTGCTGCTGATGATGATGATGATGGTGGTGGTGGTGGTGGAGGTGGTGATGATGGTGATGATGCTGCTGATGATGTTGCTGATGATGCTGATGATGCTGATGATGCTGATGCTGATGCTGCTGCTAATGATGAGGATGATGATGATGATGATGATGATGATGATGATGATATAGATGCAGATGCAGATGCAGATGCAGATGATGATGATGGTGATGATGATGATGATGATGATGCTGATGATGATGATCATGGTGATGATGATGATGATGATGATGATGATGCTGATGATGATGATGATTATGATGATGATGATGATGATGATGAGGATGCTATGATGATGCTGCTGCTGCTGATGATGATGATGATGATGCTGATGGTGATGCTGATGATGATGATGATGATGATGATGATGATGATGATGATGATGATGATGATGATGATGATGATGATGATGATGATGATGATGATGATGATGATGATGATGATGATGATGATGATGATGATGATGATGATGATGATGATGATGATGATGATGATGATGATGATGATGATGATGATGATGATGATGATGATGATGATGATGATGATGATGATGATGATGATGATGATGATGATGATGATGATGATGATGATGTGATGATGATGATGATGATGATGATGATGATGATGATGATGATGATGATGATGATGATGATGATGATGATGATGATGATGATGATGATGATGATGATGATGATGATGATGATGATGATGATGATGATGATGAGGAGGAGGAGGAGGAGGAGGAGGAGGAGGAGGAGGAGGAGGAGAAGCATGGGGAGAAGGACGTCGACACATCTGGTACACCGCGCGCAATTGCACGGCCCGGCGCAGCTTCCGAAGCTCGGCCTGGCGCTGGAGTGGAACCCCCCCACTCGGCAGGAGGACCCGCGCCCCGCTTGCTCGTCTCCGCTGCAGAGCTCCTTGCCTGCCTTCTCCCCAGATCGGCTACGCTTCAGAGCGATCCTTCGCCAGAGTGACCTCACGTGCGCGGCTCCAGGGCTCAGGGGACGGTGGTCAAAATGCAAACGGGGGTCAGCCAGAGCGCCGGGATCTCTTGCAGGAGCCTGCAGAGCCAGGGCTGCGACTCGGGTTTGGATGCAGGATCCTGCAGGATCCTGCAGAGCTTGACCGACGGTCAGGAGGAGGAGGAGGAGGAGGAGGAGGAGGAGGAGGAGGAGGAGGAGGAGGAGGAGGAGGAGGAGAGGAGGAGGAGGAGGAGGAGGAGGAGGTGGAGTCGGAGGAGGCGGAGGAGGAGGAAGACGAGGAGGAGGAGGAGGAGGCGGAGGTGGAGGAGGTGGAGGAGGTGGAGGAGGAGGAGGAGGATGGAGGAGAGGAGGAGGCGGAGGTGGAGGAGGGAGGAGGAGGAGAGGAGGAGGAGGAGGAGGAGGAGGAGGAGGAGGAGGAGGAGGAGGAGGAGGAGGAGGAGGAGGAGGAGGAGAGGAGGAGGAGGAGGAGTGAGGTAGAGGAGGTGGGAGGATGAGGATAAGGAGGAGGAGGAGGAGGAGGAGGAGGAGGAGGAGGAGGAGGAGGAGGAGGAGGAGGAGGAGGAGGAAAGGGAGCATCCCTGCAGGATCCTGCAGGATCCTGCAGGTCTGGCTTGACCCAGGTCGGCAGATCCCCGACGGCTCTCGTGTGGCGCGGGGGAGCCGACCCCAGACGCGGGCCGCCGAGATCGGCAGGCTGCGCACTGCAGGTGACTCTTGCCTGGGGTCCGCTCTTGCACGTGGCCGACCAGATCTCCGGCGATGCGGCACGAACATCGAGACGGCAGCTTTGTCCTCCATCCGTTTCACGACCCTCCTGTGTCGGTGGGCCCCCGCCCTGAGTCCGCAGTGCCGCTCGCCTCCTCCGCCCCATCCGCCTCCTCCTTCTCTTGCTCTCCTCCTCCTCCTCCTCCTCCTCCTGCTCCTCCTCTCCTCCTCCTCCTCCTCCTCCTCCTCCTCCTCCTCCCCTCCTCTCCTCCCCCCGCCTCCTCCTCCTTCACCTCCGCGTCGTCCTCCTCCTCCCCCCGCCTCTGCTCTCCGTCCACACGCCCATTTCGGCACTCCCCTCTGATTTCGCGCCCCCCGCAGGGAGCTCCGCTTTCGCTGCCGGCGGGCACGCCCGCGTGGCGGCGCCGTACCCATTTCTGCACACCCATTGCGCGGATCGTGCCCCATAGGGAGCTCCACCTGTGGCACCAGTGGGCACTGCCTGCATGGCAGCGCCGCTCCCATCTGCCTGACCGCCCCTGGAAGCAGCGGGCCGTTGGAGTAATCCATTCGGAGCCTGTGTGGCGCGGGAGCGTCGACCCGTCTACGTAGCTGGAAGGGTCCGCAAAGACTTTCATCGCCCCCAAATCGCGCAGCGAGTTGAGGGGCAGGAAAAATCTCTCGGGAGAACCCCGCGTGGTCTCTTCGCCTCTTGGCCTCGTTGACGTCGTGGGTGTCCTCCCTGCCTGGCCGTGCGTTCGCAGCGCGGCGGATCGCTGCGTCCGCTTGTGCTCACAGCCGTTGGCCGCGTGCGGCTGGCGGAGCTCGGCGTGGGGATGCCGCCTCTTCTCCTGGCTCTCCGGTTGGCTGCTTGGTTGGCCCCGGGGGCGCGCGTGCGCGATGGTAACTGCGCCTCGCAGGCTGCGGCTGGGCCTCTGGGGGGCCTTGCCGCGGTACCTCTGGTCCCGCCGGACGGGTTGCGACGGCGCTTCGATATGACGAGGACAAGGAGGAGGAGGAGGAGCAGGAGGAGGAGGAGGAGGAGGAGGAGGAGGAGGAAGAGGAGGAGGATGAGTAGGAAGACGAGAACGACGATGTGATGAGCAGGAGGGGGAGGTGCAGGAGGCGGATGATGAGGAGGTGGATGCTGACGGTACTGATGACGACAACGACGGCCTTCGCCAGGCGCACGCCGACACCTGGGAGGGCAAGGAGACCGCCCTCTCGGGGAAGACGAGGGTCGAGGATAAAGGATCCCAGGTGTTTTCGGGCCTGCTTGAGGCCCATATAGGCCAGCGCGGCGCGAACCTCCGGAGGCTTCCGGGGAGCATGTCTCGATGAGGACGAGGAGAACGACCAGGGCAAACCCAGCACGCGCCACCGATGCTGCAATGCACCCTCCCGTCCCGAGTCCTCTCTGCGCAGGTCGCACCCTGCATTCCCGTTCGCTGCGGGGATCGCCCCCTTGAGCGAGGAGCGCCCTGTGAGCCTGCCATGCTCGGGGGTGGACAGAGTCCCCCAACAGTGACACGTCGATTCGTGAATGGTCCGTTTTCGGTTCTCGAGAGGGCGCCGCGGCCGTTATTTTCCAGGCTTGCGCCCGCCAGGTTTGGGCCTCAGGTCGTTTTCACTAAACCGCGTTTTACTAAAGGGGGTTCTGTCCATCCCCGTCATGCAGGCGAGGGCGTCGTTTCGACAAGGAGCTGCCGTTCATTTTTTCACAGCCTCAGTGAGTGCCCGAATGCCGGGCCATGCACTCAAACAAGTGTCCAGCGAGAGCCCATCTTGAGCTGACGCTGCCCTCCACGCGCGTACCCGTTGCACGCTTGTGGAGATGTCGTCGTTCAGTCTGGCGACGTCTACAGCGAAAGCCCCACTTTTTGACAAGGAAGCGACCCCGCAGCCTTGCATCGCTTGTAGTTGAACTGAGGGGGTTTCAAATGAGAGCCACGTTTTGAAAAAGAACCGCCCTCCATCTGTGTAGCCGCTGATATCTTTAGCAGCGTATTCGTGCAGCGCTTAGGTGCGAGCCACATGTCGGACAATTCGCCGCCCTTCGTCCGTGTAGCTGTTGGAGACCTGCAGAAACAAGTTGCGCGGCGCGAGAGTGCGAGCGCCAGTTTGACGACGAAGGGCATTCCATCCGTGCCGCTGTACTCACTTTTCAGATGGCGTGCCTGGCGCTGAGGCGAGACCCTGATCTGGAAATCGAGCGGCCGTCAGTTCTTTGAAGCTGCTACAAGCTTTCAAGACGAGGGTGTGCGGCGCCAGAGCGAGAGCCTTATCTCGTAAACGAGCCTCCGTCAATCCGTGTAGCTGTTGGGAATTTCAAGCCTCTCTGTGAGGAAGTCTCAGGCAAAACGCCATGCCCGCCCTGCCGACACGAGTGGTGGTGCGGCGAGGAAAAGTCATCTAGCGGCCTGCGGCCCGTCCAGCTACTGTGCCTTGGAGGCTTCTGGGGGTCAACGGGTAGTCTTTTGGGCCTCCCGGACCTTCAGAGAGTCTCTGGGGGGCAAGCGGCGGGTCGGGAGTCTTGGGGTCCTCCTGTGTGGGAGTTGATTTGGGCACCTGGTCTGGCGCATCCTCCGATGTCAATATTAAAAACGTATATTTGTCTTTGCAGCATTCCATGCTTCAGGAAGCTCACGCGGCACGCTCAGGAAGCCCAGGAACGTCAGAGAATTCCAGAATATTTGGAGTCTGCGCTTCTGTGAACATCCTACGCTCCTTACCATTCATATGGTGAGACTTGTGGCAGTCCAATACGTGCTCGAGACACGGTGGCGAATTTGTAAAGTCGAGGAAGGAAGAGAAGATGGACGCTATGGAAGAGGATAAGGACGAGAAGGGTAATGAGGAGAGTGAGGAGAATGATGATGAGAAGGCTGCTGCTGATAGTCACGATAACGATGACGATGATGCTGATGTTGATGACGACGACGTCGACGCTGGTGATGCTGATTATGGCACTCATGATGAAGATGACGGTGATGGTGATGCTGCTGATAATGAAGAACACGATAATAATGGTGAACATGATGATGATGACGATGCTGATGGTGTTGCTGCTGATGATGATGATGATGATGGTGATGATGATGATGTGGTTGATGATGATGATGAAGACGATGCTGATGGTGACGATGCTGATTGTGATGATGATGAGGAGGAAATTGACTACAACGAGGACGATGATGATTGTGACGATGATGATGATGACGATGATGCTGAAGGTAATGATGATGCTGAGGATGAGGGTGATGCCGATGCTGATGAGGATCACCACTATGATGCTGTTCATTATGATGATAACGCTGCTGCTGATGATGCTGGTGACGACGACGATGCCGGTGACGGTGACGACTATGATGCTGATGATGATGGTGGTGATGATGAGGAGGATGAGGATGAGGATGAGGATGAGGATGAGGATGATGATGATGATGATGATGATGATGATGATGATGATGATGATGACGGTGATGATGCTGCTGATGATGATGACGATGATGATGAGGACGATGATGATCTGGTGATGCTGATAATGTGATGATCGGGGTAGAGCTTGCATCGAGCGCCGCGCGCGTCGACATAGTGATGTTGCCGATGTCGATGGTGACGTCGATGATGATAGTGGTAACGATGAGATTGAGGAGGAAGAGGAGGAGGTGGTGGAGAGGTAGGAAGATGCGAGGGATGAAAATGCTAATGATGGTGATGATGATGATGATGATGATGATGATGATGATGATGATGATGATGATGATGATGACGACGGTTCTGATGATGATGCTGCTGATGATGATGGTGATCGGGAGGATGGGTAGGGAGGACGGAGGAGAGAGGAGGGTTTAGGATGATTGTGGTGGTGACGTTAATGGTATGTCAGTGATGGGGATGAAGACGATGGTGATGGTGATGGTGATGATGATGATGATGCTGATACTGATACTGCTGCTGCTGATTATGATGGCGGTTCTGATGCTGATGCTGATGGTGATGCTGATGATGTTGATGGTGACGACGACGACGATGATGATGATGCTGATGATGATGAACACGATGACGCTGATACTGATGCTGGTACTGCTGATGATGATGATCACGTTGATGAGGAGGATGATGATGATGGTGATAGTAATGATGCTGATGACGTTGTTGATGATGATGATGATGCTGCTGATGCTGATGATGTTGTTGATGATGATAAGGATGATGGTAATTATGATGACGATGCTGATAATGATGCTGATGATGATGATGATGAGGATGATGATGATGCTGCTGATGATGATGATGCTGATGAACATGAGGATGCTGATGATGCAGATGAGGATGATGATGAGGAGGAAGAGGAGGAGGAGGAGGAGGCAGATGATGATGATGATGATGATGATGATGATGATGATGATGATGATGATGAGGAGGAGGAGGAGGAGGAGGAGGAGGAGGAGGAGGAGGATTGGCGGCAGCAGCAGCAGCAGCAGTAGTACCCGTGTGGATCGAGTGGGTTCGTATTTCGGGAGTGTCTTAACAGCAGCAGCAGCAGCGGAGAAGGAGCAGGGGGAGGATCGCATCCTCCTTCCGTCTCCTGCTCCTCCTCCTCCTTCTGTCCTGACCCCACCCTCATCATGCCCTCCCTTCTCCTCCTCCTTCTGCTCCTCTTTTGTCCTCCTACTTCTCCTGCTCCTTCTCCTGCTCCTCCTCCTCCTTCTTTTCCTCCTCCTCCTCCTCCTCCTCCTCTTTCTCCTTCTCCTCCTCCCCCTCCGTTTCCTCCTCTCTCTACCCCCACCCTCCTCGTCCCCTGCGCCTCCTCCTCGCCCCCAACTTCCCCTTCTTCTTGTTTCTCTCCTCCCCCTCCCTCCACCTCCCGCTCCGTCTTCGGGGGCGACAAGGTGGAGCCAGATACAGCTATCCTCCTGCCCCTCATTCCCCTCCCTGGAGTAGGTGGGGGGAGCACGGGGGGAAGTTTCGGGGGGCCAGGAGGGTCACCATTGGGTGGGTGATCGCCACTACCTCCTCCTCCTTCTTCTCCTCCTCCTCTTCTTCCTCCTCTTTTTGAGGGTTCAAGGTCGACGAGGAGGGAGAAAGAAGGATGGAATGGGTTTTGGATGTTTTTTGGCTCTTTGGGTGGCCCTGGGGGATCCTGCCCCCCTCCTCAGGAAGAGGTGGCGGCCTCCCACCTTTGGTAAGTGTAAAATCAACAAGCACACGTGCGCCAATTGTGCTGTGAGATATGCCGAGGATGAGGACGGCAGTGTTACGTTGGACCAAGACGATGCATCAAACAGCTCCGTCCTATACAACATCCTGAACTTACAGGCGCCGGCGCTGACGCCCAAGCATACAAGATGGTTGCAGACATGTTCGTCAGCCTCAGAGGCGCATTGGCGTATGCATTCACCACCCAGGTGTGGTTGATGGTATATGTTGTCTCTCTACAACGTGTCCAAGAACCGACCAACATACAAGTGCGACGATTGAACGCCATTACCAGGAAACTGCAGGTCTGCCCTGAGAAGATCGTCTACCAAACGATGACTCCCACGGGCGAAGTTGACCTGCACAGCGACTCAGGTTATCGACGCCTGAGTGGAGATGCCGATGACGAAGCCAAAGGTTAGGGTATTCGCGGGGCAAACCTGCTGCGGCGTGGAAGCACGCCATCTGGCAAGCCTTTCGTCCACTTGATCGATGCGTACTGCAAGTCTCACCGCTTGCAGGTCCGCTCGAGCTATTCAGCAGAGACATTAGCAACAGCCCACACATTGGAGGACTGTTATCCCACGATCGTGACTCTGCACGGGCTCCATGCAGGGCCGTTAACTCCCACTCAGTTGAAAGACATACTTGAGTTGGGTGGCCTGAGCATCAGGGTCACTTTGACCATAGATGCTAAGTCTGTTTCTCAGTCCTTGTCAAGCAAAGACTTGAAGAAGCTGACTGCGTGTACCCTTTTAGGACACATCGGCTGGATACGACAGATGATGGAGCGAGGGATCGTGCACAGTATCCAATGGCGTGACACCTGCGATATGACCGCGGACGGTCACACAAAGCGGAGCATCGACAGAGAAATCCTCTTACAGGTCATGGGAGGTACGCAATCCTTCAACCAGGATTTAAAGTGTCATACTCCTTATCGGGCTGGCCAGACATCTCGGTCTGCAGCCGCCTGAGGAGTACCCGTTTGCACAGTAAAGTGCAGGCGAGGCAATTTGCGCGCGGGTCCACCTTCTTTACGGCCCCGCCTTTTTGTTGCCATTTTGTACATAGTAGCTGTCGTACCTGCTGTATAAAAGGCGGCGGACTCACGCTTCGTCTCCCCCCCCCGACTCTAAAGCGAGCTGGGGATGCAGGTGAGTGGGAACGAGCGTGCGGCCGCGGCCGCTTGGCTCAAAGCGGCCGGCCGCCCAGATCTGACTACATATCAGGTGTATGATTTGCCATCGATGCCGAAATTGCTTGAGATGGCTCGCCTCCTACTGCTGGGATTATCGTTACTGCGGTACAACTGAGCTGGAGCTGGGCTTCGCCTAAGGCGAAGCTGCTGGTTGGGCCTCCCAGCCCCCTTCAAACTCGCGGGGCCTCTGAGGGGCCTCTTGGGCTCCCTTGGCTGCTTCTTGGGGCCTCCAGCGGGCCTCTTGGGGCAGAAGGCTCGAATTGTCGTCTCGCGTTCCCCCTCTTGGGGCCATCTTGGAGCCTTCTTGAGCGATCTTGGGCGCCTCGTGGGCCGTTTTTGGGCCCCCTCTTGGACCGTCTTGAGGCCCTCTTGGGGCCCTCTTGGGGGCCTCTTGGGCCGTCTTGGGGCGGCTTCGGGGGCCTCCGAGGACATTTTGGAGCGTCGGAAGGCCATAGCGCGAAACCGCGAAACACATTGAAACACACACAAGGAAAGTCATTGATGTTTGCCTCTATGGGCTCTCTTGAGGGTCCTCTTGGAGCGCTCATGGGGCTTCTTTGGCGCCTCTTTGGCCGTTTTGCGGCCATCCTGGGCATTTTGGGGCGCTCTTGGGCTGTCTTGGAGGCCCCTTGGACCCTGTTGGGCGCCTTCTGGGGCCCTTTTGTCCCGTCTTGGGCCTCCCTTGGCCTTTCCGGGCCGCCTCTGGCAAGCGAGCAGGGAGGGGAACTACGAAAAGGTGCTCCCGGATGGTTGCGAACTGGGCCACCCCAGGCCGAGGGGGGGGTCCGATGTATGGATGACATAAAAGCATTTACGCCCTATGTATGTTGCGGATGCGTCTACTGATGATAGCGATGGGATGGTGGCAATGGTAATGCGACTGAATGCCGATACGCATGGGGCAATGACAATGGTAACTGTACGGGTCGCGTCAATGGTTGTAATAGCAATACACAAATAACGGCGGGAATCATGAAAACAATACTAAGATGCACGCGCACTGAAACGGAATGTCGCCATATTGATACATACACATGTGTTAACATTGATCACATATCATGAAAAGCATGGTGACGATATGGAATATGATGCGGATCTACACGGCAATGGCGTAAAAAAAAGGCGCTTGCAAAAGTAAGGAAGCGGAACTGGCGGGGGAGGAATGGGAAGGAAGAGGAGGAGGAGTAGGAGGTCGCTGTCAGGGAGGAGCGAAGCTGGAGCTGGAACGGAGGGCACATGGCAAGCGCGACGCCTCTGTCCTCCACCAGCAGGCCCCACATCGGCTCTGCCCCGAAGCCCACGTCCGCGTCTAGGAAGATGAGGTGCCTCGGGGCGAAAGGGGAGGAGGACGCTGATGCAAGGGGGGAGGGGACAGGAGAGTTCTCGATCGAGGAGCACGCCCGCGCCCTCGCGGGCATGGCCAGCTGTGCGCAGCGGGCGAACCGACCGCTGCCCCCTGGTTCGCCGCCTGGCAGCCAGCTAGCTGGCACGGCCACTATGCTGAGACCCAATCCAGACGTGCGACGTCCTGATTTTTTCAGTGCGGCCTCCCCGGAAGTCCAGGCCCTTTCCTTGGGGCGGGTTTTTTATCCCGAGTCGTTTTTTGACGGTCCTGAGGCCTGGCGAGGGCCCCCAAGGGCCGAAAATAGTGAAACACTTGCCGTGATGATCTTTTCACGACGCGATCATGTCTGGGATCGACAGGCACCACCTATCGCCTTGACAAGGACCGTCACCGCCACCGCCGCAACCAGAAGCGGAGCAGCCACCTGCCAGTGCGCGGCGGCGCCACGGCGAGGCCCAGGCGGGGGGCGGGCAGCGCCGTTCCTCCCCGCAGTGGCCGACGCTGCGACGTGGCCCTTGCGGAGCTCACGCGGCGGGAGCACGAACCCGATATGGTCATGGCAGGGGGCGGGGAGGGAATTCATGTGGACTTCGGCTGATCCGATGCACATGGCGCTGACGGCAGCCTGGCACAAGTGTGGGTGCAGAGCAGAGCGAGGCAGAGTATGTGAGTGCCTGCGTGCAGACTCAGGTTTGCACTCGCCTGGGTGAGGCAACTGCTCGTAAGCCGCAACCTCACCCCGTCGTGCGCGCTCGCCTGGCTGTTAATTACCCCAGTGCGACCCTACCTAGAAGTTGGAGCCCCTAGGAAAGCAGCATTAGTTACTATGCTATGCTATGCTATGCTATGCCATGCTATGCTGCGCTATGCTATGCTATGCTATGCTATGCTATGCTATGCTGCGCTATGCTATGATATGCTATGCTATGCAGTGCTAAGCTATGCTATGTCATGCTGCGCTGTGCTATGCTAAGCTCTGCTATGATATGCTATGCTATGCCATGCTGCGCTATGCTATGCTGTGCTATGCTATGCTATCCTATGCTATGCTGCGCTATGCTATGCTATGCTATGCAAGGCTATGCTATGCTATGCTTAGCTATGGTATGCAATTCTATGCTATGCTAATGCAGCGTTGCGCTATGCTAAGCTAAGCTAAGCTAAGCTAAGCTAAGCTAAGCCTCTAGGCAGAGCCTAGGTAGGGAATTACACCCATGCTAATGCTACGCTGCGCTATGCTATGCTATGCTGGGCTATGCTATGATATGCTGTGCTGCGCTATGCTATGCTACGCTATCCTTTGCTATGCTGTGCTCTGTTATGCTAAATCTCAACGAAGGTAAGTTGAAGGTAAGCTAAGCTAAGATAAACCTGAGCTAAGATGAAACTAAGCTAAGCTAAGATGGCATAAGCTAAGCTAAGATGAGATAAGCAACGCTAAGCTAAGGGGACGTAACTGGGGGAACCGCGGGGCGGATACTGGGGGAACCGCCCGGGGCGCTTTCCACTGCCCGGCCCCTTTAAGCCCAGAGAGTAAGAACCCTTCTGGGCAGAGCATAGGTAGGGAAAAAAGCCCAGAGGAGGAGGAGGAGGAGAGGAGGAGGAGGAGGAGGAGGAGGAGGAGGAGGACGGGGGTCAATGCAAACGGGGGTCAGCCAGGGCACCGGATCCTGCAGGATCCTGCGAAGACCCCGTCCGGCAAACCTGGGTAGACGAGCCGCTCGTGGCCGCGAGGCAGCCGCGCATATTGGCTGACCCGAGTTTGCGAAGCCCTGCCTTGCTTTTTTTTTGTTTTTGTTTTCCTGAATAGCAGTTTTTGTTGTTTCCTGCTGACCCAGGTCTGATTGGCCGGGGTTAGCAGATCCCCGCAGTGTTCGTCGGCGAAAAAAGGCCTTGCAGGGCAAATTCCATGAACCGGGGGTGGGCTTGTCTTCGCCAGTGCGAGTGCGCCTGCAGGATGACGATTGGAATGGCGAGGAATCTTGGGAGACCAAGGACAAGTGGCGAAAGGATGGCGAGTGGAACAGCGGCGACTGGGACAAGGGTGGCGACTGGGACAAAGGCAGCGACTGGGACAAGGGTGGCGACTGGGACAAGGGTGGCGACTGGGACAAGAGCGGCAAGGAAAAGAGGCAGCGCTCCATTTACCCATGAATCATCGGGACTGTGCGTAGCTTTCGGTCTCCAGAGTGTTTGTTTGTTGGAGCCAGTACGGGTAGATAGTGGAATGATGCTCAGGTCGATGTTTGGATCGTGTTTGCTGCAAGGTGGTCAGCCTGAGTATGATACGTTGTTTTCCTCTTATGCTAGCCGCGATACCCACTAGCGTATCCCGAGCAAGTGCTTTTCCTCATCATGATGTGCTCCAAGTCCTTGCAGCAAGCCCAGCAATGTTTTTGCTCTTGGTAAGCCTGGGCACCAGCATAAAAGTGCCGTCCATTCCAGGCAAGACCGAGAGGGCAAAAGGAAAGGAGGCAAAGGAAAAGGCGGGAAGAAAGGTCGAGACAGGAAACGAAAGCCCGAAGAGGAGTACTTCTGCAGTGCGTGCCGCATCTTTGCGCTCATGTGCATTTGCGATGTCTTTGACTTTGATATTTGTACTCTGTTGCCCCTCACCCAGTCTGGATCACGCTGCACTGGCCTCGGGGTGAATGTCGATCGCAGTGGCTGGCGTTTTCTTTCTGCAGGCTTTGTCTTTCCAAATGGTTTCGAGGTGCGACGCCACCCAGATGTAAGACTGGGGCCTCGACGCCCACTATCTGAGCTCTGCGGGGGCCATCTAGGTGCATTGTGACAACCCCTCCTCGACTTGATCGTGTAGCTCTTCGTCCGGCGGTGTTTACGTGGTCCTTCTGTTGTTGCTATGAAGTTTGAGCAGGTGGTTTGTATGGTGTAGCACAATTTTGCCTACTAGATTTTTTTTTCTCTGCATGGCGGCTTGTCAATATCGCTCTGTCGAAAGCGTTGTCGTGATTGATTCCTTCATGTGATTGGTGTAACGTTTTTGTTATTCCCCCCCCGCAAATTTTGCTCCATAAGTTCTTAATGTGTGGAACGTCCTCATTCCTCGTTGTGGTTGGGTCATTTACAGCTCTGTAGGTCAGCATTTCGCAGTGGTCCTCTCCCCGATTCGTGCAATTCTAACCTTTCGGACAAATCCGTTTTTTTGCGATGATGCTTACTTGTGGAGGAGGTCATCGATGGCAAGACTGGGGCTAACACAATCGAGGCGGGCCTGCCCCTGTCGCATATCAGCGACGCTCAGATGGTATTGCTTCGCTGTCACGTTTTCTCACGTACAATCTTGCACACTGTGCGTTTACTTGGGCGATCCTTCTAGACGGTGTGATGTGCAATTCTGCTGCCGTTCCAGCAGTTCCAGGCTGGGAGAAACTTGGAGCACATGTGCAACTATCTTTCGAGGTTCGTGTCATCATCGTTCTTACTTGTTCGCCCGCTCGCCTACCGCTAAGACTTTCGGGGAACAGCGTGTCGCCCTGGCGTCAAGAAGAGCGAACCTGAAGAATTCGAGGCAAGTGAGCGCGAGCCAGATACATCGGTGCTAGGGATGAGGGAGCGATTGCCCCATGGGACATCCAGTATCCCCCCCCCAAGCCAAGGCAGACATGTCTGTAGAGAACCCCAGTGGAGCTCGGAGGTTCCCCGAGTCTTAGTGCAGGGATCACTGGAGGGTGCCGACTGGAGCGAGCAGGAGCACACAGCTTTCACACAGGCCAAGATGTTTTTGAACATATTGGATGTCAGGGGGATTCGGGGAAACACAAAGGCAATCTCGAGGAGCACGTGGTTAGTTCCAGACAGGGTCACCTCCTCGAGGGTGACAAGGGTTGGGTTGTCCTCGCGCCCTCGGCGTACGCTGTCGAAGATCTGGCGAAAGCGGGCTCATGTTCGAGCGTTTCGGGGGTGCGCCGGAACTGGCCTCACAATAACAACAACAACGGTCCCGCTCGATACATCTTGGAATTTCATCAGGGCTGACGCTCTTGACAGTCGCCAAAACCGTTCCTCCAACACAACCAGCGCTCCCACTGGATATTTCCCCGATTTGTACTCGGGAGAGGCGCTCTCGGCTCGGCGTTGCAAACTGGTTCCCGCTACATAGATTAGCGTTCCCGCTCGATGCTTCCGTTCTTTGCTCAGAACTGGCGCTCTTGTTCGCGGCCGAAAACTTGGCCCTCCAACAACACCAGCGCTCCCTTTCGATATACCCCCCACTTGAACTCAGGAATCTCAGTATCGTTCAACCGATCCCCGTCCCCATCCCCATCCCATTCGAGACCCCACAAAATTACCCCCCCAGTTGGGGATACGCTCCTCGAAACCCGAAGGATACGGCCTATGTCCCCATCCAGGGGGTTAGATCGGCCAGTGGGCCCAGGCCACGCCGCTGGGGATGGGGATCGGTTAAACGATACTCAGAATTGGCGCTGCCACCTCGGCGCTCGAGCCGGCCTCCTGAGCCAGCAACAGCGCTCCCGCTCGACGCCCTCGCGATCTTCACTCGAGGGAGGGGGCCTTCTTATCCCTCGTCGTCGAGGGTCTGCCCTCCAGCAAGGCCACCGCCCCCCCCTCGATGCCTCGCTTGCCTTCTGCGCAGGAGTGGCTCTCTCGCCTCGGCGTTGAAGCCAGCTCCCCAATCCAGCAGCAGCGCTCCCGCTCGATGCCTGCTGGCTCTTCGGCTCAGGAGTGGGGCCACAGCCTCGGCGTCGCAACCGCTCGCTTGCTGTTGTTCTGCTCGGGAGCGGCGCCTTCGCCTCGTGGCGGAGCCAGCGTCCCCGCACAGCAGCGTTCCTGTTCGACTCCTCCAAAGCTCACTCGGGAGTGGCGCTTTCGCCCCGCGGTGCAACCAGCTTCCCCGCACACAGCAGCTTGCCTGTTCGATTCTTCCAAAGCTCACTCAGGAGTGGCATCTTTCGCCCCGCGGCGGAACCAGCGTCGTAGATGCTCGTTCTGGGGACCTTCCTGGGGCCCACCGTATGGATCTGTTCGACTCCAGTTCTACTCACGTTCGAGTCAAGTTCGACGCAGGTTCGACTCAGGTTCGACTCAGGTTCGACTCAAGTTCGACTCAGGTTCGACGCGGGTCGACGGACGTTCGACGCAGCTTCAACGCACGAGTAGAGCGAGTGGCTCCAAGAAGGTCCCCAGAACGAGCATCTAAAGCGTCCACGCACAAGACCTTTCCTGCTCGACATACCTCCTGGCTCATGCTCCGGGGCTGCGCTTTCGTCTCGGCGGTCCGGCCTCCCCCCCCCTCGACCGACGACGGCGCTCCCGCTCGCTGTTCCCGACGGTGGGACCGAAGACTCAGATCGAGGTCGCTTCGGAGAGGGTGCCCTATTGCTCTTCGTGTTTATTCTCCAGATAGGCTTTTCCTATAGGAGTTGTAACTCAAGTCCTACTCATTGGTTCGTTGCCCCCCCTAATTCCTACGGCCTCCCCTTTTTCCAAGGGCACTTGCTTGCTTGCTCTTGCGTGCTTGCTCTCGCTTGCTTGCTCTTGCTTGCTTGCAATTGATCGCTGGCTCTTGCTTGCTTGTTGTTGCTCGCTTGCGCTTGCTTGCTTGCGCTTGCTTGATTTTGCTCGTCCCGTCCACCTCTCGTCCTGCTTCCGTCCTCCTTTCGTCCTCCTCCCATCCACCTCTCGTCCTCCTCCTGTCCTCCTATCTATTTGGAGTCAACGCTGGCTGATATTGGATGTTCCATGGCGCCAGCATCGCAGAGCGGATGTCGTTCGGAAAACAACAGGATGAGCCCGGAGTGTCCTGGAGAATTTCGTTCTGGATTTCTCAGTGAATTTCGCGCGGATTTTTTTTTGGCCAGGAGTGAAAACTTATAGAATCCACGCGAAATTCACTATGTTTTTCACTCGCCGTTTCGGGGTTTCGCATCGACAGGAATCCACGCACAAGTCCGCTGCAGCACGTCTGCAAGGTCGGTGCAGTGAGATGTTCTTGTGCATCCTGGGGAGGGTACCCTTGGCTGTTCTGTGTGTCTGGACCGGCGGAGGGTCTCATGTTCAGGAGGGGCGTTCCTTTGGCCCAGGTCCGGCTGCATCCTTTTGCTCCGCTGTGCCCCCCCCTCGTCTCGGCGCCGCCTTCGGAGGGCTTCCGGGCGGCCCCTGGAGGAGCGAACAGGTCCCAGCAGAGGCTCCAGCATGCCCCGAGGAGGCGCACAGAGCTCCACACGAGCGCCCAGAAGGGGCCCTCGGACCGCCCACGAGAGCCCCAAGACGGACTCCTTGTCTTTGCTGTCCTCACCGTTCGGTCTCCGCGGCCGGCCCCCGCGCCTCCGGACGGAGCGCCCGTCCCGTCGACGTTTTGCGGCCCACTCGACGCGGCGGGGCGCGCGAGGAGTGCCCTACAGAGGGGTGGGGAAACACAGAAGCGGCGCTCGACTTGTCCCAAGAGGCCCCCAGGGGATCCCCCCAGGAAACTCCAGAGGGTTCCCAGAGAGCATTCAGACCTGGTTGAGCCTTCCTGGCGCGGTCGCATGCAGAAGCGGAGGGGGGGGCAGGTCAGGGCAGGTGCTATGGCAATGTGGCATCTGATCGGGAGGTGGTAGACTTCCCCGTAGGATGTGTTGGCTATACATTCTCGTTGAGGAGTTCGGAATAAGGGAATACCTGCCCCCTACGCATGAATCAATTCCCCCGTGAAGGGTGGTCGAGGGTTATTACGAGGGGTACATGTTGTATGTGGCCACATGGAGCTTTTTAGTATAGTGGTTGTTGTTGGCATGGGGTGGAGAAGGGAAGAATCGAGGTGAGTTGATGGGAAGGGAAAAGTGGGAGAGGGCAGGCAGGGATGAGGGACGAGAGTTGAGGGAGGGAGGAAGGGGGAGAGGGCAGGCAGAGAGGGAGGGCGGGAGGGAGGCGGGATGGTGGAGGGGCTGTGAGCTGTGTCTGGCTGCTCGTGTGGGGAGCGTAAGGTGAACTGGAAGCCTCCAGGAGCTGCTGAGAAAGAGACGGAGGACCTATGCCCCGACCATTCTCTTCTGTAGACATCGACGCTTGGATCAGGCAGTGGAGTGGTCAGGCAATGCTTATTGTGCCGGCGCAGATGGTGTTACCAGAATGCACAAATGGACGTGCTATAGGATGAAGTTCCGCCCGAATAAGTCAAGATATCACGAAGGCCTTACGGCCTGTGTCACCGACCCTGAGAACGACGAAGATGAAAACGAGGGGGGCAGGCGGAGGAGGACGAGTGGGAGGTGGAGGAAGGGTGGAGGAGGTGGATGAGGGAGGAGGAGGGTGGAGAAGGATGTGGAGGAGAAGCAAGAGGAAGAGAAGGAGGCAGAGGAGAGCAGGAGGAGGGGTAGCAGAGGGGGAGGAGGAGGAGGAGGAGGAGGAAGAGGAGGAGGCCAGAGGCTTTCTTGGGACAGCCTGGGGCTCTCTTGAGGCCGTCTTGGGCCGTCCAGGGCTCCTCTTGCGCCGTCTCGAGGCACTCTTGGAGGCCTCCTGGGCAATTTGGGGCTCTCCTGGGCTGTCTTGGGGCAGTTTGGGGGCCCCCTGGGAGCCTCTTGGGGCCTCTTGGGGCTTCTTCGGGGCCTCTTGGGGGCTTCTTGGGGCTGAGAGCTCGAAATGTCCGTTCGGGTCCCCCGTCTGGGCACTCTCCTGGAGCCGTCTTGGGGCCCTCTTCGGCCGTTAGGGGACCCTCTTGGGGGCCTCTTGGGCCGTCTCGGGGCGATCTTGGGAGCCTCTTGGGCCGTCTTGGCGCGTCGGGAAGCGGAAGAGGTAAGAACACCAACATCTTTCAAAAACGTACGGGGAATCCATGGATTTTGCCTTTTGGGGCTCTCGTGGGAAAGCTCCTGGAGGCCTCTTGGGGCGCTTTGCAGGCCTCTTGGGCCGTCTGGAGGCCGTCAAGGCGTCTTGGACAGATCGTTCGGCGATTCGGGGTTCTCTTGGACTGTCTTTGGGGCCTCTTGGGGCACTCTTGGCCCGTCTTGGGGCTTTTTTAGGCTCCGGGACTCCCATGGGGGGCGTCGTATCTGACCCCCCCACCGCCCGGGACCCCCCCTCCGGGACCACCCCCGGGACCCCCCCCCGCGACCCCCCCCGGGACCCTCCCCGGGACCCCCCCCTCTCGGCGGGGGAGGGATCGAAGGGAAGGGGCTTCCTTTCGACTCAATTACGACGTTGCTCAACTTCGCTTTGGCTGGCGCGCTGAGGAGGTCCCTGGGAAAGGGGGGGGATTCGACGAGCCCAGGGCAAGGGGGAGGCAGGGAAAGGGGACGACAGAGACGACGACCAACGAATGACGGAGATGACGACTTGAACGGACAAGCCCCTCACACACGCCGACAGGGTCGGCGGATTCGTAAGTACCGCCGGACAGCGTTGGCTCTCGGAAGAGTAATACTGGTCGTATCCATGAGTGCATTTGATACCTTAATTGAGTACCGCCTCCGTGCCCTTCTACATCCTGCCTTCGGCATCTGCGTCTGCGTCAGCGTCTACGTCGATGTCTGCTCTCCCTCTCCTCTCTCTCATTCTCTCTCTAGCCCTCTCTCCCGCCTCTCTCCATGACTCTCACACATGTTTCCCCAATCACAGCTTGCCGCAGTAGGGGTCTTAGCATATTCATAAGGTCAAGTGAGGTGCATCGGGAATATAGTACTATAGCCCTATAGCCCTATAGCCTTAAAGACCTATAGCCCTGTAGCCCTATAGCCGTATAGCCCTACAGCCCTATAGCCCCGTCGGTGCTACGATTGCCTGGTTGCCAGATGTGCAGATTTTTTGTGGTCCAGCTCATCTCTCTTCCGAAAGTAAGCGATTATTCAAGCTGGGCGTGGACATCCTCAGTCCACAAGCAGTGCTTGCACGGAGGGGTGGTCATTGAGGCCTCTGTTGGCTTCAGCTGGTCCCACCACTTGACTTCGGTTTGTTGGCATTCTGTAGAGCTCCACACGCTCCGTCGCTTGCCTTGATGCGTTGGGAGTTCCACTGGTCACCGCTGACCCCGCTGCTTGCCTTTCCTTGTTGCGGGGCATTCCATTAGTTAGCCGCCACCTGTCCTCGCTGGCTCCAAGTGGTCACCTTCTCAGTTGGCCGCCACTAGTCCTATCTAGCCCCGGCTAGCGTGGAGTTCCCCGTTTCCCTGGCTTGGTGGGAATTCGATTGGGCGCGGCTAGCCCCGACTGGCCCCGAGTGGCCGCTTGATTGGCTGGCTACCACAAGTCTTCGACAAGTCCCGAGTAGCCGGTTGCCCTGGCTTGTCGGGAATTCGGTTGGCTGCGAGAATCCCCGACGAGCCCAGTGTGGCTGATTGCATTGATTTGTTGGGTTTCCTTTTGATCCGCAGACAACCCCGACGAGCCTGAGTGATCGGTTGCGGTAGATTGTTGGGACTTTGCCTGCCCGTCACTGGCCCTTGCCTTCGTTTGTTGGTGATTCCGTTTGCCGCCACGAGCCCCCAATCAGGCCCAGGCAGCCGATGCCTCCCGCGGCCGCCAGTAACCTCGACTGTCGGGTCGCGTCGGAGGGTGTCCTGGCCCAGCTCGGGGTGATGAGCCGGATGCTGTGGAGCTGGGGCGGGCGGCGAGGCGGCGAGGAGGGACGCTGCCTCACGGGCAGCCCCGGTCGAGTCGCTGCGGGCGGTCAGGCCCAGGCGGACTGACCCGTGGTGGCGAGGTCGGGCCGCGGGGGGGGGGTCAGCGGGCCTTCCCCCGTCGGTCGGTGGGGAGCCCCTCGGAGGGCTCGCAGGAGGGGCTTGGGACGAGGGCCCCCTCCGTGGACCCCGTCCCCTCCTGCTGGGCCCCGCCCTCCACCCCGACTGAGGAGTCAGGGGTCCGTCCCCCCCCCTCTGTCGGAGGTTGACAGACCTCCTGCCCTGACACGTCGATCAGCGAATCGGCCGCTTTCTGCTCGCGAGAGGGCGTCGCGGCCGTCATTTTCGCGGGTCCAGGTCCGTCGGTTGCGGTCCTAGGCTTCACTAGGTTTCTTGAAGGGAGGCTTGTCCGCCGCCGGTTCGGGATGGGTGCCAGAGTCTGCCCCAACCAAATATGTCATCGCCTGTCCGTCGTCAGGGTGGGATGGGTGGGCCCGGATGGGCTCAAAAGGGAAACAATGGCCTTGTCCCGTGCAGAGCTCGCTGTGCAGGGTTGGGGGCCCTCACCCATCCATCGCCCACTCGCCCACGTGGGCTCGAGGCCACTTCCCATGGGGGAGGGGGCCCGGGCCCATCTCCCTCGCTGCCGCCTTCCCCCTTGCGGGTGCTGCCAGAAGTACTCCCTGGCCCAAGGTGCCTCCAGGGTTCTCGGGGTGGCCCAGATGGCCTCCAGGGCACCCCTCTCACGAGGCCCAGAGGGCCCCAGGGGGCTCCAAGATGGAGCGAAAAGTTGGGGGCACTTTGGGCCAGGTGCACGGCCCATAGGGGGGGGGGCCTTTGGGGGCCCCTCTCCTCCCCTGGGTCTCCCGGGGTGGGGGGGTGGGGGGCGGGGGTTGCTTGTGGCCTCCCCCGCAGGGGCGCTCTTCCAGAATAACTTTTTCGAGTGCATGTGCTACTTTATTGATTGGTTGGTCGGATTTTCGGTTTGATTCGGTGGCCCACGGGACGGGGGGGGGGGGGGGGCGTGGTTCGACCCCCCCTCGGGGGCTCGCGGGACCAGGGTCCGCCCCAACCGAAATATGTCATCGTCGGTCCGTCGTCAGGGTGGGTTGCGAGGGTCTGGCTGGACTCACAATTGGAGGGCCTCCTCCTTGTCCTCCTCCTCCTCCTCCTCCTTATCCTTCTGCTCCTTCTGCAACCCCAGCCTTTGCCTCGCTGCCTCCTCGTCCCTCCTCCCTCCCCCTCCCGCCCTCCCGCCCTCCTCCTCCTCCTCCTCCTCCTCCTCTTCCTCCTCCTCCTCCTCCTCCTCCTGGAGGTCCCCAGGGGGTCTCCAGAAGCCTCTGGAGGTTCAAAGGGACCCAACGTGTCAATCATCACAGAACACCGTTCTTCTCATCCCTCCCTCCTCCTCTCCCTTCTCCTTTCATCTTCCTCCTCCTCGTAGACTGTCCTTCGCTGCTTATATGATGCCTCCCGCAGGGTAACGGCAAGGAGGACGGCGGCTACGACTCTGAGGCGCCAGCGATTGGGGCCAAGAGGTGGGGGAGCAGAGGAAGGGATGCAGAACACGATTATGGAGGTGTGTGATTACCAGATGAGGAACGTGACGGGGATGCTGACCATACACGGCGAGTAGGATCATGCTGACCATGATTTATCGTGGAGATGCTGTTGACGACGATGATAATGATGCTGTTGTGGTGGTGACGACATGTAGTAAAATGAGATCGATGGTGTCAACAGCGACGATGAGCAGGGGGACGAGGAGGGGGAGGAGGAGGAGGTGGAGGAGGGGGAGTTGGAGGAGAAGGAGGAGGAGGAGGAGGAGGATGAGGAAAACGACATGAGGGAGGGGGTGGAGGCGGAGGAAGAGGAGGAGGGGGAGGAGGATGAGGAGGAGGAGGAGGTGGAGGAGAGGGTGGAGGAGGAGGAGGATGATGATGATGAGGAGGAGGAGGAGGAGGAGGAGGAGGAGGAGGAGGATCAGGAGACTTTCGGGGGTTTCTGAAGGTGTAGGATCTTCCCCAAACAATGCTTGCACTTAGCGGCTCTCACTTGTGTTCGAAGGAGTGGGGCCTGTCTGTTGGTCTGGCGGCTCTGTAGCCGCCGTCGCCGCCCCGTCGCCGCTGTGTCGCCGCCCGTCGTATGGGCCTGTTTGTCGGTCTGGCGGCTATGTAGTCTCCGCCGCCGCCCCGTTGCCGCCTCGTCGCCGGTCTAGATTGCCCGAATTGGTATTAACGCGTAGATTGCACCACGAAGATTGCACCGCATAGATGGCACCGCATATATTGCACCACGCAGCTTTCACAAGATAGGCTGCACCGCATATATTGCGTCGCGTAGATTGCAGCACATATATGACACCACACAGAGTCCACATCACAATTGCATCACACAGGTTGCACCACTTAGACTGGACCACACAGCTTGCACAGTATATATGGAACCGCATAGATTGCACCGCATGGACTGCACAACATATCTCGCACCACATAGAGTGTATTGCGTATATTGCACGACATATATTGCACCACATTGATTGCACCACACAGGCAGCACAACATAGATTGCACCACATGTTGCACCATTCAGTCTGCACCGCATAGTTTGCACAACATAGACTGAACCGCACGTATTGCATCACATGGACTGCACAACATATCTTGCACCGCATTGAGTGCAAACATAAAGTGCACCAGCTATATCACACCACATCGATTGCACAATGTAGACTGCACCACATACATCGCACACCATATATTGCTAGAAAGACTTTGTTTTGGGTCCATGCCAGCAAACATGATTGTGGTGGTGGTGCTGCTGCTGATGATGACGTTGCTGACGACGATGTCGATGATGATGCTGCTGATAATGACGACGATGGTGGTGATGATGATAATGATGACGGGGATGACGATGATCATGACGATGACGATGATGGCGATGATGCTGCTGCTGATGATGATGATGACGATGATGATGAGGAGGCGGATGATCATGTGATGATGGTGGTAACGGTGGTGGTGGCGGTGAACACGAAGATGAGGATAACGAGAAGGAGGAGGATGAGGAGGTGCAGGAACAGTTGGATGAGAAGGGGAAGGACGACGGTAAGCGCCGAGTCCCTGTAGCTCATGCTCATGCGGAGCGCTTGCCGCTGATGTGCAACGCTGGGCTTTCAGAGGGCATCCAACGCTCGTGCTCGAGGCACTGTCAGCGTGCACTCTGGGGGGCTGTCCTGGGCCGTCCTGTCGAGCGCTGCCATCTGCACGTCAGCGTCCGCAGAGGGCCTCGTCCTCGGCGCAGCTCGCCTTCGGCAGAAGCCAGCGGACGGCCGGCGCAAGACGGCGGAAGTACGGTCGGGAGCTTTGGCTCAGCGTGTCGCTCCGCCAGTTCTGCCCCGCCACGCTGCGGCGCGACACGCGATCCGCATCCAAGTCCCCTGGCGTCTGCGTCCCGAGCCTTTCCGACCCTCCCGCCCCGCGGAGTGGAGCGACACACACCATCCGCATGCAGGGCACAGCGTGTCGCATGGGCCGCCGCGGCGACGCGCTGAGCAAGAGTTCTCGACCGCACTATGGCGGCGGCTCCGCTGGCGGAAGCCGGCGGAAGGCGGGTAGAAGGCGGCGGGGTAGGAGCGAGACGCGTGTTTTTCGGTTTCGGGGCTTCCAGAGCCGGGGGCCCTGACGCCCCGGCACTGATTTTGGTCTCGCCGAGGTCGGTGCACAATGTGCACTGGGCAACCCCGTGTCCTAGGGCCTCCTGGGAGGAGTCGATCGGCCCTGGGACCTGTCCCATGAGGCCATTGCTCCCTGGACGGCCCCCCAAGGCCAGGGATACATCCAGAATCCGAGGTTCAAGACAAGGATGGCTTCAACGATGATGATGATGACGATGATGATGATGATGTTGATGATGATGTGGAGTAGGAGGAGGAGTCGGAGGAGGATGATGATGCTGATGATGATGATGACGATGATGACGACGATGATGATGCTGCTGATGATGATGCTGATGATGATGAACATGATGGTGATTATGTTGATGATGACGTTGATGAAGATGATGATGATGATGGTGATGCTGCTGATGATGACGACTATGAGGACCATGCTGATGCTGCTGATGATGCTGCTACTTCTGCTGATGATGATGATTCTGACGTTGCTGCTGATGATGATGCTGATGATGCTGATGATGATGATCTTGGAGATGATGCAACGGATGATGCTGCTGCTGATGATGATGATCATGATGCCAATGATGATCATTGTGATGTACTGTGATGTGATGGCGATGATGATGCTGATGATGCCAATGAGGATGATACTGATGCTGATGATGCTGATGATGATGCTGATGATGATGATGTTGATGATGGTGATGATGTGGTTGATGATGATGATGCTGCTGATGCTGGTGATGCTGACGATTATTTTGATCATGGCGATGACACCGACCACGACACTGACGATGCTGATGATGCGGATGATGAGATGATGCTACTGCTGATGATGAGAATGCTGAGGCTTGTGCTGATGCTAAAACATAATATGTTTAGTATTCCCATACACGTCCTTCTCCTTCTTTGTCTTCTTCTTTTGTTGCTATTGTTATTGTTGTTAGTGATATTTTCATTCGTATGCAGGTACCAATGGCGATTATGATGATGCCGTTCTTGCTGATGCTGCTGCTGATGATGATACTGATGATGCTGTTGATGATGCTGAACATGATGCTGCTGCTGCTGATGATGATGATGATGATGATGATGAGGATAGTGATGGTTATGCTGCCGCTGCTAATGCTACTACTGATGATGACGAGGATGCTGATCATGCTGATTATGATGACGACGGCGATGTTTATGATGATGCTGCTGCTGCTGATGATGCTGATGATGCGGCTGATGCCAACGAGCGGAGGAGGAGGATGATGGAGGAGGAGGAGACGGAATATGACGACGATGTTGATGATGATGATGCTGCTGATGATGATGCTGATGATGATTATGATGATGATGCTGATGCTGCCGCTGATGATGATGATGCTGATGTTGCTGATGATGCTGATGCTGATGCTGATGCCTGTGCTGATGCTGATGCTGATGCTGCTGCCGATGATGGTGGTGGTGGTGATGCTGCTGCTGCTGATGATGCTGATGATGATGATGAGGAGGAGGAGGGCGACGATGGGAGTAGGAGGATGAGGAGGATGAGGACGATGATGAGAAACAATAGGAGGAGGATGGGGGAGGAGGAGGAGGAGGAGGAGGAGGAGGAGGAGGAGGAGGAGGAGGAGGCGGATGGGATGAGTAGGTAGTGGATGAGAAGGATGGCGGAGGAGGAGGGGAAGATGTAGAAGGAGAAGGGGGGGCGCAGACAGGGGGGGGGGGGGAGGAGGAGGATGAGGAGGAGAAGGAGGAGGAGGAGGAGGAGGATGAGGAGGAGGAGGAGGACGATGGAGGCTTGCCCGCTCGTTGTAGGGTTTGGAGAACATGTGAGCTTACCAGACAGACGGAACTCGCGGGTCCATCTGCGCGTCCTCCTGTCATCGGTATGGTTCGAGCCATCAGCAATGTATACCGAAGTCGCCTACGGCCCATTACCGCCGCCCCCTGTCTTTTGGAAACGCTTATGTGCCCATGCGGCAAAACGCTGGGCCGACGTCTGGCCAAGCTATTGGATTATCGTTGCCCCCCGGCCGTTGTGGAACTGGAGCACCTCGGGGGAATACTGGGAGAGGACGAGAAAGGAGGAGAAGGAAGAGGAGGAGGAGGATGAGGAGGCGGAGGAGAGGAGGAGGAGGAGGAAGAGGAGGAGGAGGAGGAGGAGGAGGAGGAGGAGGAGGAGGCGAGGAGGAGGAGGGAGGAGGAGGAGGAGAAGGAGGAGGAGAAAGAGGAGGAGGAGGAGCAGGGAGGAGGATCAGGAGGAGGAGGAGGAGGAGGATGATGATGATGAGGGAGGAGGAGGAGGAGGAGGGAGGGAGGAGGAGGAGGGAGGAGGAGGAGAGAGGAGGAGGAGGAGGAGGAGGAGGGAGGAGGAGGAGGAGGAGGAGGAGGAGGAGGAGGAGGAGGAGGAGGAGGAGGAGGAGGAGGAGGAGGAGGAGGAGGAGGAGGAGGAGGAGGAGGAGGAGGAGGAGGAGGAGGAGGAGGAGAGAGGAGGAGGGAGGAGAGGAGGAGGAGGAGGAGAGAGGAAGAACACTAGGAGAAATACGAATGATAATAAGCATACATATAATCAGACCAATCATAATAACAACACTACTAGTATCATTACTGATAATAACACTCGTAGAAGTAATACATACACCACTACTGTTACCACTACGAAGAATAATCATATCAATACTAGTTCTTATAATCGTAAGAAGAAGTGGAGGCCTCTTGAAGCCCTCTTGGGGGCCTCCTGGGGGCTTCCTGGGAGCTTCTTGGGGCTTCCAAGGGTCCTGTCGGGGGCCTCCTGGGGCCTCTTGGTAGTCTCCTGGGGGCTCTTGGGGCCTCTTGGGAGCCCCTCGGAGCTTCTGAGGGACATCTTGGCCTTTGGAGGCCGTCTTGGGGCCCCCTCTGTGCAGTCGTGGGGGAGGTCTCTGGGGCAGTCTTGGGGGCCTCTCGGGTCGTCTCGGGGCCCTCCTGAGCCGTCTTGCGGGCCTCTTGGAGGCCTCTTGGGCCGTCTGGAGGCTTTTGGGGGCCTACGAGGCCGTCTTGGAGCGTCGGAAATCCAGAAATGGCGAGAATGGTACATCGTTGAACAGCCAAAAGAAAAATCAATGATTTTGGCCTTCTGGAGTTCCTGTGGGAGCCCTCTTGGGGTGCCTTGGTGGCGTTTTCGGCCGTCTGGGGGACATCTTGGACCGTCTTAGGGCCATCTTGGCCGTCTGGGAGACGTCTTGGGGACATCTTGTATGCCATCTTGGGCCATCTTGGCCGTCTTGGAGGCATCTTCGAGGCCATCGAGTGCCATCTTGGCCGTCGCGGAAGCGATTTGGGCCACGAGGGAAGTTTTTCATGCCTTCCCGAAGGTAGGCGCATTGAGCTGAGACTCCACTGTAGTTCTTCAAGAAGGACCAGCAACTGCCTAAAGTTCAGCGCGCCGTGCACCCCCGTGGCAAGTCACAGGGGGCGGCGGATCTAAGGCCGTCGGCGCATCCCGCCACCGTGCCAGGTCTGCGGGTCGAGAGTGGGCGGGGCATGCAGTACGATGGCGCCACGAGTCAACCATGAAGGCCTTCGCGAACCCTTCGTTCTGTGAGCTTCGTGGATGCCTCTTGCAACCCTCTCGGTGAGGACGTGGCGGGTTCCTGAACCCCTGAATCCACACATGTTGTCATCTCTTGGGGGGGCATCTTTTCCTTCCGCCGCCCTCCCCCGGCCCTCCGCCGTCCCTCCGCCGGCTCTTGCCGGCGGAGCCGCCCCCTCTACATTTCCGCCGCCCTCCGCCCACCCTCCGCCGCCCTCCTCCGACGAAGGGGTGCCACTTCCTTCGATCATCCTGGGCGGGGCTTTTTCTGGAATGCCTTACACGTAGGCCTAATTTCATTGAATACCAACCGTTGTTGGTTTTCTCGACGCGAGGGGTTTTGGGTCGCTCGGTCGCTCCATGGTCGTGGGGGCGTATGGGATGGGAAGCAAAAGGGGGGAAGTAAGAGGACGGCCTTGGAGTTCATCTGAGCCGCAGACAACTGCAAGGCTCGTTGGAGCGTCTTACATGTATATCGGAATATTTTTGAAAGGCTCTCTCCGGACTGGTGAGCTCCTCATGGAGCTCTTGGGGGGGTGTCTTGGCGACAGTTTTGAGGTCTTATGAGGCCTCTTGGGGCTGGGGCCTTTTGGAGCATATTTTCGGCCTCTTGGGCTTCGTAGGGCTTCTTGGGGGCTTCTTGGAGGCCTGCCGGCGGTCTCGCGGGTCCTCTTAGGGCGGAGGGCTCGATATGTCAGTTCGTGTTCCCCTCTCGGGCCGTCTTGGGGCCCTCGTGGGCCGTCTTGGGGCCCTCTTGGACGTCCCCTGTCGCCATCTTGGGGCCTCCTGGGCAGTCTTGGACGCCGTGCAGGCCCCCAGAGCGGATCTGCTAAGCATGCACGTGCTCTTCTCGGATGAGATTTGACCAAGTTTTCTTCCTGGGGCCCCCCCTGGGTGGTCCACTTGGAGCTCTATCGGTACGTCTTCGATGCCCTTTAAGCCGTCTTGAGACCAGGAGGGGGAGGAGGAGGAGGAGGAGGAGGAGGAGGAGGAGGAGGAGGAGGAGGAGGAGGAGGAGGAGGAGGAGGAGGAGGGAGGAGGAGGAGGAGGAGGAGGAGGAGGACGAGGAGGAGGAGGAGGAGGAGGAGGAGGAGGAGGGAGGAGGAGGAGGAGGAGGAGGAGGGGAGGGGGAGGGGGAGGGGGAGAAGGAGGAGGAGGAGGAGGAGGAGGAGGGCCGAGGAGGGGGAGGAGGAGGGGAGGAGGAGGAGGAGGAGGAGGAGGAGGAGGAGGAGGAGGAGGAGGAGGAGGAGGAGGAGGAGGAGGAGGAGGAGGAGGAGAGGAGGAGGAGGAGAGGAGGAGGAGGAGGAGGAGGAGGAGGGGGCGGAGGAGGCGGAGGAGGAGGAGGAGGGGGAGGAGGAGGAGGAGGGGGAGGAGGAGGAGGAGGAGGAGGAGGAGGAGGAGGAGGAGGAGGAGGAGGAGGAGGAGGAGCAGTGCCTAGCGGCACGATGGCGGATAGAGCATCCACGGTCAGACTGTGTGTTCAGCTGCGTTGCCCGCTCTTCTCTCCAGACCGCGGAGCGTCCTCCCATCCATTCCTTTCGAGCCAGGACGCTGCTTGGAACGGAAGCGCTGCGAAGGATGGTGGACGCAAAGAGCCCAAGGATTCTGCCCGCGCGTTCGGCGATCATCCTCGGCCCTCGGTTGTCAGTTTGCGAGACCTCCATGCTCTCCGATGTCTTGGCTCCTCATGCTCTGTCGATTGAGACTCGATCTGCTGAGTTCGGCCGAGCTTGCGACGACACAGAGGTGGACGTGCAGAGCGACAGACAGGGGAAGCGGGCGCTCCTCTCCGCAACCTCCCGCCACGTCGGCTCACCGACAGGATCCACCGCCCGCCAGCCAGCCAGCCCAGTCCCGCTCAGTAGGTGCGCATGGACGATGGGGGGTTCTGCAGTGTTTCAGGAAATTTGGGACCAGCTCGGGCACGGATCGGCACATTGCAGCTTGCCTGCTTTATTGTATGTCTGCCTGCCTTCTTGCCGTTTGCCTGCCTGGCTTCCCCTCGTCGTTTGTCGTTGGTCGCCGCCGCCGCCGTCGTCCTACTCCTCCCTCTGGTCCCCCTCGTCGCGCTGCTGCTGCTGCTGCCCCTCCTCTGTTTCTTCCTCCTCCTCTCGCTCCTCCTGGGACGGGGGAGGGCCCCCTGATGATATACTTTCAGGAGGGGAAACACACAGACACAATTAATCGTCGATTCCCCAGACAATATGGGAAACTATGGGAAGTGGGGTGGGGGGGGGGAAGACAATAACCCAGAACATATGGGAAACTATGGGGAATCTTTTTATTTGTGTGTATTTATTTGTGTGTCCTGGGGCCCCTTCATACTTCGGACCCTGCGATCGCGGCGCTGCCGCGCCGTCGGGCCGCCTTTCCCTCCACTTGGCGGACCTGACACCTGGATCGGGCGCTGGCATTTTTTTGCAGAGGCTCCAACAGCGCGGCAGGACGCCTCGATTCACGAACGCGCCGACGATCGCGGGCTCTTGCCGTTCTCTTTTTCATCCGCTACGGCTTCAGATTTTGCCTAATGCGTTTTTTCCAGTCGGTTCAACTTTTGCCCTCTCTCTTTGATCTGCCGTGCTTCAGCGTGCTGGCTGTAGTGATCATCAGCCGCTTGCAATTGAAGATGGAGATGAGGAAGTTAATGATTGTTGTTGTGGTTGTGGTTCTGATTGTGATTGTGGTTGTAGTTGATGATGTGGAGGATGCTGCTGCTGCTGCTGCTGATGATGATGTTAAGGATGATGATGCTGATTATGCTGCTGATGATGATGAGGATGTTATTGTTGTTGCTGCTGTTGCTGCTGTTGTTGTTGTTGCTTTTTCGAACTTCTGCAACAACGGTTGCGCACCTGCCAGGGCCATCATCCCTGTCAAATAATACCATGCGGGACACATTCGTTTTTTCTTCGCGCGCGCACGCCGTCGTCGTCGGCCGCGGGGCCCTGAATAGTAGCCACGGTCGTCCGCATGCCACGAAGTGAAGTGTCCGAACGTCATAGGGCGGGAAGCTGGGTGTGGGTGGTGGCGAAGAGTCGTTTGGAAATTTGGTAGAGCTTGAACCGGCCCCCCCACAAAGTGGGGGTATTGCCCGCCTCCTATGAAAACCCTGGCACTGGTGAGAACGGAGTGTCCCCACGTGCTAGTAATTGTTGTTGTTGTTGTTGTTGTTGTTGTTGTTGTTGTTGTTGTTGTTGTTGTTGTTGTTGTTGTTGTTGTTGTTGTTGTTGTTGTTGTTGTTGTTGTTGTTGCTGCTGCTGTTGTTGTTGTTGTTGTTGTTGTCGTTGTTGTTGTATTATCGTTCTTGTTGTTGTTTATCACCCCACCTGTGCACACTCTGTTTTAGAATCGAGTGCTCTTCCCGGGGCTCGCACCTTGTTTTTTTATCACTGAGAGTCTTCATCCTCAAACTGGGCCACTGGCCCCCGAGTGACAACAACAACGGCTCCCGCCCGATACTTCCCGTACAGTTTATTCCAAAATCGCGCTCTCGCGCGGGACTTCCTCACAATGTATGCAGGAATCGCGCTCTCGCGTGGGACTTCCTCGCAATTTATTCAGACGCCGAGCCCTCGACACTCAGGAATCACGGTCTCGCTATGGCCTTTTTTCAATATTTCCTTGGGAATCGCGCTATCGCTCGAGTCTTCCTCGCGATTCATGCAGGACTCACGCTTCAGCAACCCGCCTGCTCGACCTGGCCGCCCGGGCCCGCCTTCCCGACCCGCCCGCTAGGGTCTGCCCGCCCGATCCGCCCATCTGGTTCTGCCAGG